CGAATGATCAGATTTTCAATATTCGACAGGTCCTTGAAAAGTGTAATGAATTCCAAATTGAAACACATCATCTTTTCATTGACTTCCAATCAGCCTATGACTCCATAGATAGAGATAGTCTTTTTGTGGCAATGGAAGAGATGCACATTCCACGGAAGATAATCACCTTAGTCAGAGAAACTATGAAAAAGACCCAATGCCAAATTAAGATTCAAATATGTTGTCCAGCCCCATAATAACTAGAAATGGAGTTTGACAGGGGGATTCCCTAGCCTGCCTTTTGTTCAATATAGTATTAGAGAAGGTAGTTAGAGATGCAGGCATCAACACAAGGGGAACTATATTCTATAAGTCAGTTCAAATTTTGACATTTGCAGATGATATTGATATAATTGGTAGAACACAAAAATCTATGAAAGAAGCTTTTCTTAATTTGGAAAGAGCAGCAAAAAAGATGAATCTACAAATTAACCAAAATAAAACAAAGTACATGTCGGTAACCAAGAAAGACTGTGCTAATGGACCTACATATTGTCACATATCGGGCGTATCNCATATATTGAAATTTGCTTATATAAATTTGTGGTTGTATGTAGTTGCACTTACCTTGGGTCAGAAGTTAACTGTAAAAATGATATCAGTGATGAAATAAAAAAGTGTGTACTTGCGGTAAATAAATGTCTCCATGGTAGTTACTATAGGATTCTGACGATGGTGTATAACACATTGATATATTGGGTTTCTGGACTTTATCCATCGTCCTAGGACGATGGATAAAGTCCAGAAATCCAATATATAAATGTCTCCATGGCCTTAGGAAACACCTGAAACCCCAATTAATACCCAGGAAAACCAAAACTATGATGTATAAAGTACTTATAAGATCAGTGCTATCTTATGCCTCTGAGACCTGGCCACTGTCAAGATCGGATGAAAGACTGTGAAGTATATTTGAATGGAGGATCTTGAGATATATCTCTGGACCAGTGGAAGAAAATGGAATATGGAGGAAGAGGTATAATCATGAGCTATACAAACTATTTAATGAACCAAACATTATTGGATTTATAAAGGTGAAAAGGCTTGAATGGGCTGGGCACATAATACGTGCCAGCAAGAATAGAATGATTAAGAAAATGCTTAATACCAAACCAGAAGGAAATAGGAGAGTGGGAAGACCAAGATTAAGATGGGAAGAATGTGTGTGGCAGGACATAAGAATTTT